TCAAATAAAACCGTGACACGTTTTAATCACAGGATAGAAAAAAATTAAACACGCTTTTATTTGGATTTGAAAACTTGTATGAAGGAATATTTCCATTCGGACAAAATATACTTGAATTTTTAGTTCATTTTATTTAACAGCTAAATAAAAGTTTCTTTTTAAAAAGGTATTTTTTATTTTATTTGTGGTTCTTGATAATGTTGTGGACCGGAATAGTATTCGAAAAATGTTTCGGGTGTTTTTTTTTGTTTGGACGAGCTTTGTTATTGTCAAAGTGAGGTTTTCTTAAATGGGAAAAGTTATTCTCAGATATTATACTAAGTGACATACATATAAATCCGAACCCCCAGTTTAAATGGTTTTATTTTAATAAAAATTGGTGAATGTATTTATCTTACTGTTAATAACAAGTGAAAAAATTTTCAGCCTTATCAGTTGGACATTCCGGTTTTTATACTGCTTTTTTTTAATTCACTAACGCTCTAAAAATGAATATTTCCTTTACGATAGGTTACGATGCCTAGGGTACGGAGACCTGTACGATTTCGTCAACTTAGTGAGTTTGATAGGGGCCGTATAGTGGGACTTCGGGAAGCTGGACTTTATTTTCGGGCAATTGCAGTTAGAGTGCAAAGAAGTGTAGGCACTGTGGTTAGGTGTTGTCAGGCATGGCTTCGAGAAGGCCGTACGCAAAGAGCAGGGGGCACTGGACGCCGCCGTAGCACAACAGACCGTGAACATCGCCGCCTAAGATTATTGGCCTTAAGGGACCGTTTCTCCACTACCAGGTATATTGCAAATGAATGGTTTGCAGAACACGGAAGACCCTATTGGCATGCGAAGTGTTTACCGACGAATGAGAAGTTTTGGCTTGTTTTCATACCGGCCACGCTGGGTCCTCCCTTTAACTCGAGAACACCGACGTAATCGCCTTGAGTGGTGCAGACAACGGTCACTCTGGGATCAGGAATGGAACAGTATTGTCTTTAGTGACGAGTCTCGATTTTGTTTAGGCATGCACGATGGTCGTGCCAGGGTTAGAAGGCGACGTGGTGAAAGGAGGAATCCACAGTTTTTTATTGAAAGACATGTTCATCACACTGTTGGAGTTATGGTTTGGGGTGCTATAGCTTATGGTTCCAGGTCACCTTTAATCTTCATCAGAGGTAACATGAACGCGCAGCGTTATATCCACGAAGTTCTAGAACCCCATCTTTTACCCTATCTTGACACCCCGGCAGATCCAACTTTCCAACAAGATAATGCCCGACCACATGTTGCAAGAGTCACAATAGACTTCTTTCAACATAATGATGTCACATTGTTACCATGGCCACCAAGATCTCCCGACTTATCCCCAATTGAGCACGTGTGGGATATGATGGGTAGGACATTGCTCAATTTGTAACGTCCTCCTCAGACTTCCAGAGGAGTTGGTGGTTGCCTGGAATGAGATACCACAGGAGGACATTGACCATCTGATCAGAAGCACGCCTAGGCGCGTTGGAGAATGCGTAGCACATCAGGGTGCATCCACACATTATTAAAGGTCAAAGGGCTTTAAAGCAGTGCAATCATTTTGAATTTTTTATCATTTACATATTATGCTTCATTAAGTACTTATACAAAATTTTATTAAAATAAAACCATTTAAACTGGGTGTTCGGATTTATATGTCACTTAGTATATAAATTTACGTACTTCGGCAAGACAATTCAGCCTCATAGCTCAAACCGCAGAGTCAAAGGTTCAGGCAAGCCACCCAAAGTGCATGAGTATTGTAAAAAAAAAATTCTGCAGTCTTATCAACTTCATGCGTATCAATAAAATTGTGTAAAGCAGTAATTTGACCATTTTGGTGCACAATTGTAATCGTTACCCTAATTGGTTAAGATCGAATAATAATCCATTTTCGGCTTTTTCATCACCGAAATGGGCCATCAAAGCACTTTTCACGATTTGGCAGTCTTTAGAGATGCAGGTAGTATACATAGTCGTGCCATAAGTTCTGTCCCATGATAATCTCATGATAAAAATGAAACAAGATATACTTATATGAAAGATATTATTTATTCGACAACATTTTTAGAATTCATAATCAAACAGTTTTATTCAAAATGTCCCCCCTTGGCCTTCACACACTGCTTCAATCTCGCGGGCCACTCATCTATCACTGCACGCACAGCTTCCAAAGGAATAGCTGCCGCTGATCGGATCAAATCCGCTTTCAGGGACTCGATATTACGGTGGGCTTTGGAGCAGGCCAACTGCTCTAGCAGGTCCCACAACTTGTAGTCTAAAGGATTGAGGTCCGGACTCCCTGAGGGCCAATCTTCCGCAGCAATGAACTCTGGCACATTGCTTTCCAGCCAGCGCTGCGTACTCTTAGCCTTGTGAGCGGGGGCGGAATCCTGCTGGTAGACCCAGTGTTGGTTGGCAAACAATGTACCACTTAAAGGCTTGACGATAGGATCCAGTATGTCGCTCTGATAGTTTGCCGCTTTTGTTTTCACGCCCTGTTTACAGAAATGGAGCTGAGTGACCCCTTCGTAGGACACCCCCCACCAAACCATGACTGACGCAGGGTGGTGGCCTCTCTCAACTCTCGGAATGGTCTCCGAAGCTTCCTGTGGACTCCTTGCATACACTTTGTCATTTTGTCGGTTGAATTTTTCTTCTATGGTGAAGATTTTCTCATCCGTGAACAAAATCTTTCGGAATCCCCCAGCTGCGTACCTCTCCAAGAGCTTCTTGGATCTTGTCGCCCTGATGTGTCGCAAGGTGGCCGTAAGTCGCTGGCCCGTACGTCTCCGGTAAGCCCCTAGCCCTAGGTCTTGTTTAATGATGCGCGACATCGTCCGGACAGGAATCTTCATTTCCCTGGATAGGATCTTCTGCTTCCGGAGTGGATTCCTTTGAATCCTGGCTTTTACGGCTTTGATGGCTGCTGGAGTCCTTACTTGACGAGGTCTTCCGCTTCTTGGCCTGTCATCAACAGAGGACGTCTCATTGTACCGCTGAATGGTCCTAGACACAAATTTACGCGATATTTGAAGGCCGCGTAAGAGTTCAAAAATCTGACTAGCACTGTGATTACACTTATGTAAAGCTATCACTGCAATACGGTTCTCTGCCTTGCCTCACTCCATCGTTATGCTTCGAGAGATCAATACAAACTGAGGTATATGTAATTACCCGAAAAGCGCTTAATCAACTGACACCACAATGTAAACAATCGGACAAGTATTAACAGGTCTACACTTGTTTGAAAACGAGGGACAGAACTTATGGCATGACTATGTATACCCTTCTCGAGCATTGCCAATCAATTTCGAATAAATTCCGTAAATGATTAAATTCCGTACAAAAGTAGCGTTACTTGAGTTAGTATCCTAAGATGTTAATCAATGTATAATGGGTTTCCGTAATATTTGGGAACTATGACTAGAAGCTTTGACTCGAAATGGGGAACTTGTGGGACTGACATTTCTGTTTTGGAATTGCTATGACAGGTTATCGCGGAAAATCTAAGGTTAGTGTCCAAAACTGCATGAAATCGTTCGTTTGAAATACTAAAACTATACTCGGCTTCAATATTTTCCTGTCCAGAATTAGGAGCCGAAGAGGGTGATATGGACGAAATATATACTTAGTGACATATAAAATGCAACACCCAGAATTACTTATTAAATTTTATCAGGATCCGAACAATATGTAAATGTTTACTCAATATTCAGTGATTCTGCTGTGTTGGATCCATTTGTTTCATTGCATTATCATGCCTAGTGTTCGCAGACGCCCTAATTTCACTCAACTTTTCGAGTTTGAGAGGGGTCGGACAATCTGGTTACGTGAAAATTTTCTTTTACAGAAATCGCTAATCGAGTGAATTGGAACGAAGCTACTGTAATGAGATATTGTTGATCGCGGTTTCAAGAAGTTCGAAATCGACGAGATAGAGGTACTGCACGTTAAAGACAGACTACAGAGCCACAGGATCGTTATTTGTGGCAACCAGCACTTGTAATCGATTTCCCACAAGGGCAGTTGCGAACCAGTGGTTTGATGCTGTGGGAAGAGCAATAACAATGAGGACAGTTCATCGCCGAATAAGGTTTTTTGGACTCTTTTTATACCGTCCCCATCTTGTAAATACTATCTCTGAGTCCAAAGCAGCGTCGGCAACGATTGGAATGGAGTTATGGAGAGACTTGAATGGAATATGGAATGGAACTCAGTCGGATTCAGCAATGAGTCAAGATACTGTTTGAGCACACAATATGGCCGTGCAAGAGTACGGAGGAGATGTGGTGAAAGATGTTAACGTCCAATATTCCATCGAACGGCATATTCATCGTCCTGTGGGTGTTATGGTATGATGTGCCATTGCTTACGGTAGCAGGTCACGATTAGTGTCCATTCGAGGTAGCATGACGGCACAGCGCTATATCCACTAAGATTTCCAACCACATCTGCTTCCCTTTTTGGAAACATCGCAAGATCCACTTTTTCAGCACGACCTCGTGCCGCATATCTTAGTTTAGACATTTAGAAGCTTCCGGAGTAAATCTGCTTCAGTGGCCTCCTCGATCTCCAGACTTTCGCCCGTCGAACATGTATGGGACATGATGGGAAGAAAGTTGCAAAATTCACTGTACCCTCCACAAACTATAGAGGCTCTACAAAACCAAATTCAGATGGCATGGGATACAATACACCAATCAATTACCATTACCATCAATTGCCTAATCCAATCAATGCCGCGACGACTTAACGAATGTGTAGGGAAAAGAGGAGCTTCAACACATTATTAACATTAAGGTGAGATATCGCAGCTATTTTGCGAAATTTCGAGTTAAAATTCTATTTATCAGTAGACTTAAAACATAAAACTGCTCAAAATTACAGCACTCCCAGTCAGTGTTGCATTTTCTATGTCTTTTAGTATACAAAAACTTGTACAATAAGGTACAAGCGAACAGAAAATGAGCAACTTACTCCACGATGAGGGCGCTGATTTTCATTCTTCTTGCTTCAGAACGTAGGATCGAGGGATGCAGCGAGTACAGTGGACCCCTTCGCTCTGGAAAGGCCGTATCCTGCCTGTACTTTCTCCCTAGCGATCTCCTCTTCGACCTGTGCCCACGGATATCCTCGATGGATGGCCTTGTAGGGATGGTAGAATCGATCCGCGATTACTGCGCCACTGGAATTACGAATTTTGTTTTATTTTTATTTCTAAGTTACAATTGCAATGATACAATACTTGAACTGTATAATAAAATAACACGTATATCGGTGAAAGTAATCTATGCAGGTTCAGAACACGCCTATGGTGGCGTGATGCTGGACCTTGTTCTATTGCAACGTAAGGGATTTGTACCAACATAATCTAGGATATGAACGAGATATGATAATAACAATATAACGATAAACGTAACAACATCGCATCTTAGAAAATTTCGAAGTACCACCAAGTAAACAATCCGATATGGGCAAAAATGTCTGGGTAATATGAAAGTCACTTACTTGGTGACGAAACGACAACGAGTTACCCTCCTTTGGCAAACGATAAGGGCGATATGATCGGATTGTCGGGGCCAACACCTATTTTTAGAAAAAGACTTATGAGTATCTCCCGTATTCAACTGACTCATGACATCACATGGACAAATCTACTATTTATCACTACATTAATGTACCCCAACTACTACTATGGATTCGTCTTCGACTGAATCACGGGATCATCGCACAGACTAATCCTGATCGTCACGCAGACGGATCATTAAGTCGTCACATAGACTGACTAGGAGCCGTCACACAGACCAACTCTTTGGTGATTAGGTGTATGGACAGACGTGCCGAGTTTAACGACTGTTACAATAAAGACTGTCCAGGAACGATATCACGTTGGCCAAGGGCCGTTGTGTCAATACCCCAAAGCACCGACTTTACCCCTGAATCAGAGATAACCGAGCAATATGACTATCATTAAAGTAACAATCCCTTCACACATCCTGCCATGAGATACATCTGACTCTAACGATTGCCAAGAGAAGATAGTTAAGCGGTCATGACCTAGGACGCCACTTCGGCCAAAGGCCACCGGGTCAACATCCCAAGCGCTCCGACGTTTCCCCTGGTACAGGAAACCGAGCAGTAATTAACATAACTACCTCAACCCAACAAACGGGCTCCGAAAGTCCCATAATAACCCCCAGAACCTGGAGGCGTCCCACCTGCGGATATTCAATAACAAGCCATAAATTAAATTATGAAGGTAAAAAGTATAGCATCTTTATAAACATAGCTTAAGACTTTCATGATCATGAATATAAAATTATTATGGTTATCAATCCATGCAGTACAGTAGAATAAAGGAAACACTCGGTGATCGCTCACCTTTCAGGTAACCAAAACACTACATCCAATAGCACATCAACACTGTAATCAAGTCCACAAAGCGCACTACTTGGTCTGTGAAGCGATCTCCTCCACGCAATAATTGAACTGCATATCGCCAGCCACGCTCGTATCTTTAAGAAAGTTTATCATGGGAACAAGTAGCCAGAGAAGGAATGGAATGTATAATAATATAAACAGGCGTAAGGGCAGTAGCGCTGAGTGACACTAAGGAGCCTTGCGAACCTACTGGAAAGGTTTTGTGTGCTACAGGGTTGGACTCGCATGCAAAAAATGTGTTTGAGATATTTCGTAAGCTTACAATAACTACCATGAAAACCAGTGGCGTGCATAAATAAGGTCTAATAAATGGTAAGCTTCTACGCTACTGGTTGACGATAATATACGCATATTATTCAGTTATTGTTGTAATGAAGTGCCATAGCTTTCTTCACATGCCATGTAGTGTTTCCAATATCAAACTTCACGGTTTTCAGAATAGTCTTAGCTAAACCTTTTCATACGTATACTTCAAATGTTCAAACCTAAATATCTCCTAGGCGAGTGAACTGACAAAAATTCCTTAGAAGATATATATTATGAAAAAATGAATTATATTTTACAATAAGCTATACCGGTTTTTTCCGAAAAGGCCAGTGGCATATAAAATACTTCTTATTAGGGGTCTAGGTACCCCAGTTTCTACGTCCCTGGTATAGTTTGGGCTCGGAAACTCTGTGAGTTTTCAGGGGTGTTGGCGGCCCAAAGCATGGATTCGAATGAGAATAGTAAGATTTTCCAAACAAGGTAGTGAGAAAAAAGTGAGTTTATACATAAAAAGGCGAATTAATTTTCTAAGAAATTGAATATAGTGCCAAATTTATACGGATAATATAAATAAGCTGTGAAAAAAACAAGAATAACTCTTATAAGGTCTTTGTTAATGTTTTATTGACGTATGCAAAAATATTCATGTACATGTATGCATAGTTAAGATCATATCCACACAATGCATTAAAGAAAAATTGAAAATATAATAAATTCTTGTAAATTCGGGAGACGTATTTATGTCTATTAAGTATTCTTGCCCAATTGACTGAAGAACCTTCATTTTAGCGAATTATCTAATGTTAAAAATTGTTTTTAGAGATGAGTATTTCTTACACAATAAAATTCCCAAAAAAGAAGGAAAAGGATTCGAGCAGAAAATTCGAGGTCTTCTAGCATGTTATACTACAATGTGTAGGTTGGCTCTTGTTGGGGACTTCGTGTGTCATTTTTTTCCTCTCCATTTTCGTTTCCTCAGGTTACTACACCCTTATCCGGATGTATGGACATGTGTATCTACTTTTGTGGTTGCATATGTGCATTCATTTCGGGCCTGATGAAGCCAACAAGCAGAAATACGTATTGCTCAGGTTACCTATCCTATTTTCTGCTCGAATCCGCTTTCCTTCTTTTCGTGAATTTTGCCCATTATTTTCTTATTTTTGCTTATATATATATATATATATATATATATATATATATATATATTTACTGCGCTCACCTCATACGCACGTCACGGGCTGCTATCTATGAGTAACCTACGGCCATAGCGTATCGCGGGCCAGCGTTGCCAGACGGACGATGATTAGCGTTTCTGTACGATAATTTTAAGTACTGTACGATGTACGATACTATGTGTAGGATAATAGCTGAATGATGTTGAATCAATATAATACAAACCAGACAGAGTATGTTCTACATATTTATGATTAACGTTTATATACAGCAACGCTGCACTTGTTTGTAGTAGCCTATTGTGGTAAGAGTGAGTCATCGCCTGTGAATCTGTGCGTGTTCCGTATTTTGGCCGCCATTATTATTTTATGTGAAAAATCGCATTTATCCTCGTGCTATACGCTTGATTTTCTTGTGTTTTTTAGACTTTTATTAAATTATGGTGAGACAAAAGTGTTTTTGTGTAAGGTTGAGGCTGGAAAAGCAGACAGTGAAGGGATATATTTTCGTTATGTTTACGATTCTACTAATGGGCGTGGAGCGCGTCATTTTCCGGATCCACTCCGTATTTTATATTTTTTTACATGTAAAACAGTATTAAGAAAGATTTTCATGACATTCTTAAATGTAAGGAAAAAATGCTGTCTTTTATGAGTGCCCATAAATCACCCAAAAGCTTCCTTGATATGTTAAATCAAAAGTGTAATATGAATGCTTCAACTGAAACTGAACTCAAGGTAAGGGAAAAACAAACAAAAACAACAAAAGAACCTAAAACTTCCTGAAAGAGGAAAAATACAAATAAATTGACCTAGCCTATAACCAAAGTCACGAAACAATATGACAGCTCACCATATAGAAACAATGGGTGATATCCAATTTATTTATATTTTCCCGTGTGTTTAAGGTTTTTCTTTCTTGCTTAACTGTATATGGTGGTGTTAGCTTAAAACCCTGGAATAATTCGAGTCACCTCAATTTTTAAGTTATTTAGACCTATGGAATGTCAGAAGTGGACACCACCTATAGCTGAAATCATGAAAGATTTCAATTTCAATCACGAGACAATGGCAAAATGTGACAGGTACCATATAGAAACAATGCAAAAATGTCATTCTTGAAAGTTGTCCTATATTGAAGTATTGTGATTACAAGTGTATTTTATTCCCAAGCTGCTCATACATACCAACATTAAAGATATTGAAATTTGTTTTTATTGTTGTTTCAGGCGTGTTTGTCGGGTCCAGCCTCTCAAATATTTGAAAGGATGTTAAAAGGTCCATCAACACAACAATATGATACTGTGTTAAGAAGCTTTGCAGTGACCCTTGCGTTTTACTCACCTAATGCGTATACTTTTGTTAGAAACACATTTAATAAATCTTTACCTGATTTAAGTACAATCAGTAAGTGGTATAAAGCAGTTAATGGTTCTCCTGGGTTCACACAGGAAGCCTTGGAAACTCTAAAAATTCTAAAGCGACAAGCAGATGCAAAGGGTTCACATGTTCTGTGCAATTTGGTTTTAGATGAAATGTCTCTTCGACAACAAATTGAGTGGACAGGAACCAAATTCACTGGGTATGTTGATATTGGGGCAAATATTGATTCAGATATGCTACCTGAAGCAAAGGATGTACTTGTATTTATGTTGGTATGTCTTAATGGATCCTGGAAAATTGCTGTTGGCTACTTTTTTTGGCTGGATTAGCTGCTGCGAAAATGGCAGAGTTATTAAAAAATTGTTTTACCTTTTTATACGAGTCAGCTTGAACATTTTGATATTTTGCACATTTTCAAATCCGTGCAGTTTGCGGAAGCCAGTCGTATACAGGCAGAGGCGTCAATAATGCAACTTCAAAAATTTCACAAGAAATGCGGTCAAGCATATTCAAACTGATAAAATTCAGAAAGAATAAAGTATTTTTATGATCATTGTTTACTTGTGCTACAATTTACTACATTGTTCCTATTACTGTCCTGTAACAGTGAGCTATTTATGTTTCTGTCAAAACCACCCTCTCTTAGATCATTTCCTGAAAATCAGCACTGACCTTTTCGAATAATAATTGCTTTAGAAATTGACGAAAAGGACATTGTGTCAAAAAAATCCAGGGTCTTCTTTGAGGCTTATATTAGAAGAAATGTTTTTGATACAATTTTTAAAAAGAGTACATTGCTTCCCATTATAAATACATGTTGCGATTTATACTAATAGTGTTTAGTACCATTAATGATTAAATTGAAAAAAAATGGGGGTTATATTACAAAAATAGAAGGGTTGATGGTTTTGATAACTATATTTTAAAAAGGCAGTGTTTCCCATTACAAATGCATATTGCGATTTTTCTTGATCTCCACTGTTCAAAATAGATGTTGAATATTTACATGTGAAAATAAACCTTCCTATATTATAGAAAAATACTTCTATAAACGTTAACATTTTCTTTACTGTGGTTGATAAGACCTTTTTAAAGCCGAGCTATCATTAAACATAAACATATATATGACAATGAACATGATTTCATGGAAATCTAAAATGTTTAATACAGTAGATAATAGAAATTTTATTACTCCTATGCGTCGCTCTATGGTATTTCTGGTAAGGAAATGCATTTAGTATCATGTGCTTCTGCAGTGCCGGGTTCAGCATTTATAACAGGCACTAGGAGCCAGGCTCTTAATGGATGTCCAGAGTCACCTGTAAAAATATATCTGTCATTATTACTCATCTTCAAGCAAGTATATAACAATAATTGCAACTAGTGTCAATAAATAGAGTAAATGATAGTTGCCTAAAATAATTATGTGGGATATTAAAACTCAGATTTATTGTTGTATTATTAACCTTGCAGATATTGACATTTTACTTTTGTTAATAAGAAATTTCAACTTCCATTGGAAGGGAACTTCATCAGATAATGCAAACTTTCATGTGTTTAAAAGTTTTCGATATAGCGGTTTCTCAATTAATAAATCCACCATAAAATTTTGATATGTAATCTCATATTCTTAATATGCATGGCAATATACTTACTATACTCTCTTATGGTGTTTGAGGGAAATAAATATGCTTCAATACAATGTCTGGACGATTTAATGCATACACCGCTTCCATTAGTGCTTTGGGTACACTGGGTTGACCGAGCCCATGTAAGTATCCCATGTCAATATGTTTCTGGTAGGGACCAGTGGCCAGCACCAAAACTGCTGTAAATACCTAAAATCAATGTATTTCTATACTGTGGTAGGTAGGTGCAAGTAAGCTTATTTTGTAATCATTATGAACTTCAACTCCTACATACTGAAAAACACGCCGTAGGCGAGTAGTTTGTCGTCTTTGACCCTGCATTCTTTCACTTTCCAAGCTTCCATAAGCATGAGCCGTCGCAGAGAATCAAAACTGCTGAAAATACAAATTGAGAGTATAAAATCACTTTTTAGACTCTTCAAGTTATTATATTTCATATTTGAACTAGTTATACTTGCCTTTCTTGTTAAAAAAAAAACACGAATAATTTTGATAAATTTATACAAAAAAATACTAGCAACCGATCGACAACTGACTAGACGTCTACCACCGAGCACTTGTTAATTTGACAGTTCAAATCACTTTTTGTTCACCAGTTGCTCCGTAGAGGCGCCACCGTAGCTGGTCGCTGACTGAGATGCACCGACTGATAATAATACGAAATTTGCGTTTGACAGCAACTATCGACCGATTCTGTTCGATTTTCGGTAGGTTGAAAGTTAGGTAATGAACCTGCCGATCGATCTAGCGCGATCAAAAACGTTAAAACGCTTTTACTTTATACACCATATAAACAGTCTTAAGTACCAAAAAACGATGGTGCGGGACCGACTCGCCAAAGCTACTGTGGGCTGTTAGATCACGATAATTTTACGATATATCCATACAACATCCTGAAGTCGATTTTCAAAAATGAGCGTTTTTTCCATGTTTTCATTATTACAATTAAGGGAGAGGGCATTTCAGGGGGTGTTTAGGCTATGTAGCGCGACGTAGATTACACGAGTCGTACAGTACAGCTGTCTACTGGTATGTGGTTAACGTGAAAACCGCAGCTGTGTATCAATATTTTTTCAACTTTTACCTAAGGGTACACTCGCACGATGCATAAAGAATCGTGAAACAAACGATTTTACGGGAAAACCGCATCGATTTACGCACATTTATAGCCAAATAACGTGGTTGTATGTTGCAATGTCAAGTATTGTCCACTGCTGCCTTTATAACGTTTTCGACCGCGCTCGATGATAGCTCGAACCGTAGAGCCTAAAGGTTCACGCAAGCCACCCAAAAATATTCAAAGTGCATGTATGTGTATTGTAAAAAAAATTCTGCACTGTGAAGTCTTATCAACTTCATGCGTATCAATAAAATTGTGTAAAGCACTAGAATTTGTCAATTTTGTTATACAACTGCAATCGCCACCTTGTCTTAATTGGTTATGTTCGAATATAATCCATTTTCGTCTCTTTGATCACCAAAGCATTGCCAATAAATTTCGAATAAATTCCGTAAATGATTAAATTCTGTGCACAAGTAGTGTTACTTGAGTTAGTAACCTACTATATGTTAATCAATGTGTTAGCAGTTTCCAAAAATGCTGTTAACTCTAATGGGTTTCCGTCATATATTTGGGGACTATGTCTAGAAGCTTTGACTCGAACTGGGGAGCTTGTGGGGCTGACATATCCGTTTCGGAATCGCTATTAAGCTAAATGCGGACAATCTGAGGTTAGTTTCCAAAACTGCCTGAAACTGTTCGTTTGAAATACTAAAAGTATACTCGGCTTCACTATTTTCCTGTTAGTGAATTAGGAGACGAGGAGATTGACATAGACGAAATATACAAAGACTAGTGCGGTAACGAGCAAGCAAGCAGAAAATGAGCAACTTACTCCACTCATGAGGGCGCTGATTTTCATTCTTCTTGCTTCAGAACGTTGGATCGAGGGATGCAGCGAGTACAGTGGACCCCTTCGCTCTGGAAAGGCCGTATCCTGCCTGTACTTTCTCCCTAGCGATCTCCTCTTCGACCTGTGCCCACGGATATCCTCGATGAATGGACTTGTAAGGATGGTAGAATCGATCCGCGATGACTGCGCCACTGAAATTTCGAATTTTGAAATTTTTTTGATTTCTAAGTTACAATTCAAAGATACAATACTTGAACTGTATAATAAAATAACATGTATATCGTTGAAACTAATCTAAGCAGGTTCAGCACACTCCTATGGTGGCGTGATGCTGGACCTTGTTCTATTGCAAGGTAAGGGATTTGTATTTGTAGCAACATAAATACCACGAAAACCAGTGGCGTGCATAGACTAGCTTTAATAAATGGTAAGCTTCTACGCTACTGGTTGACGATAATATACGCATATTATTGTTGTAATGAGGTGCCATATAATGTGTCCAATATCAAACTATTTCAGAATAGGGTAAGCTAAACCTTTTCATATGTATATGGGTCATTCCACAAAAATAGTACCACTCATTGTCCGCGACACATTTCACATAGTATAATTAGAAATACTTTGTCCCAAAATTGTTAATTAACATCTCGCAATGAGTTTTATTCATTACCCATATATTTAGAAATAAATATATTTAAAATAAATCTAAAATCTCTCATAAAGACCCCAAAATATCAGTCCCTAGGCATGTCCGCACTCCAAAAGATTATGTTTGGGTACCCATATTTATAGATACATCAACTATATACTTTATTTGATTTAACAATTATCTAGTTTATTCTACATACACAAAACTCTATTAATATTTTGTAGTTTCAATAAAAAATAATTCGATTTTCTGAAGTTGAAAAAGTGTCCTCGATTTTATCCGTCATTCCCTAGTCACGCAAAGATTTACAAATTTCGCGCCATAATATCAATGAAGATTGAATGACATCTAGTTGATTTAAAAGTACGACGCGAAGTTATCCATAGACCATGCTCGCTGAGCGGCAGCCATTTTGTGATTCAGTGCAAACGCGACAATTGTTGCGGAAACATGTGTTGATCCAGTCACTTTGTCATTCCCTAGGTGAGTAGTTTTATTGTTTATAATAGGAAACTGATGATAATTAAATAATATTTACGTGTGATTTGTTGGTCTTCTTTGGTACATCATATTAAACAGCTTTTATTAGAAGTTAACCTGCATTTGTCTCAAGTTTTACTCCAAATCGTCAGTCCCTGGACCATCAGGCCCTAGCTCTTAATTGTGCTAGGGACTGACGGATATAGCTAGGGAATGACGTTTCGATATATTGTGATATTAACAAAATATCTAAATGTAGGTTATAAGTGAAACGAAATAGAAACTTTATGGAATGATATTAGGGGATGAAAAAGTCATTTAGGGTTTATGTTATTTATGTAAAAATATTTAATAAAATGCAAAATACTACATTTGACGATTGGCTTTTTCATTTTGAGTTTAAAAACTGGGAAGTTATAGACTTATAATAAGTTGTTTGCGGTCGTTCGTCACAATATCTAAGCATTAAGTGTTATTTTTCCATTTTGCAGAAAAATGTCACCTAAAAAGAAGCCAAAACTGTCCAAAGAGGAAATAGCCAGTAAAAAATCAGCCGCCGCAAAAGCTCGATTGGAGAAAATCAAAAGCGATCCAGTTCTGTTGGCAGAATATAAAGAGAAAGAAAGAGTGAAATATTTAAGAAAGAAAGAGAAGGGACAACGTAAGTCTATTCAGGATATGACCCCACGCGAGCAGAGAAAAATTAGAAAACAATGGAAAAAGTATTCAACTGATTACAGAAAGAAGAAAACAATTAGAAAAGATTGTGAAAATTATGTTGTTCAGAACCGCAGATCAATAATAACAATAACGAAAACTCTAGACAAGTGGAAGCTAAAAGAAGAAGCCGATATCAACGGAAGATAAGAAATAAAGTGTTACAGGAAAAATGTGCGATTATTGATGATTTAAAAAAGAAAGTTAATACTCAACAGAAGAAATACAATAGACTGAAACAAAAAATTGAGAAATCGAAGAAATTACTCACACCTAAAAGTAAAATAGAACAAATGGCAGAAGATCCTAATCAAAGTAGAGAACTGGTCAAAAAGGCGTTATTTGGCGAAGTTTTGCAAGCTAAAATTATTGAAAATATTTCGAAAGCTCAAACTCATCAAGAAAAATACAACTTTAAACAGCTTTTGGCTGGTCCCACAGTAGAAAAATATAAACTTTGGCGACAAAGTTGTAGCTTTATATTGTATAACAAGATTCGGCGCAAAAGTTTTAAAAATAATGATAAAACTAAGAAAAACTTAGTAGTCCAAATGGTTAGCAGATTTTATGAAGACGACAGTAATAGTCGCGCTGCAGCAGGAAAAAAGGAGTGTATTACTCGCAATAAAAACAAAAAACAGAAACGCTATTTGCTAGACTCATTAAAAAATTTATACCAAAAGTTTCTTCAAACAATAACATTGACAACTAGCTATTCACTGTTTTGTAGATTACGTCCATTTTGGGTCGTTTCCCCTAAAATAACAGATCGCGATACTTGTGCCTGCATTATAAATGAAAATATGAATCTAAAATTATCTGCTTTAAAAAAATCTAAGATTCTTGGCTTCGACAATTATCAAACAGGATTACAGATACTTTGTTGCAATCGTTATTCTGAAAAATGTTTGTTGAGACAGTGCAAATTCTGCTCTACTAAAGTGTTACCATATGCTGAATTCGATAACAGCAAAGATATTTTGGTAGATCAGTGGACACATGGAAAAGTATTGATTACAGATTCTAAAACAAAAAAAGAGCGTTCAATTTCAAAGTATAAAAAAGAGACAAAGAATATGGTGCCTCGCAATTTAATTATACAACTGGAAAATGATCTGCAAAAATTTTTCCAACATGAAGTTAACATTGTTCACCAGTAAAATACTTTAAAATCTATCAAACAGTCATTGACGGAAAGGGACGCAGTAATACATATGGACTTCTCTGAAAATTTTAGTACAAAATATAATCAGGAAATTCAAGCTTATCATTTTGGGGGTTCCCGCTCTCAAATTTCTATGCACACTGTCGTTGTCTATACAAAAGATTCAACTTTTTCTCATTGCACTGTCTCTTCAAATTTAGCTCACAATGTTGCAGCTATTTGGGCCAGTGCTCGCGTCTTTGCCTCTTACCGTAGAAAATCTGCACTTTTTGAGTGACGGGCCCGTAACTCAATATAGAAATAAAGCAATGTTTTTCATACTGGCTTGTAAACTTGTAGATTTTCATCCAAATGTAATGACTTTTTCATGGAACTACCTTGAAGCAGGTCACGGGAAAGGAGCCCCAGATGGTGTGGGTGCAACTTGTAAGCGAACTGCAGACAAATGTATTGCACAAAAGGCCGATATAACAAATGTATACACTTTTGCTGCCACTTTACGTGAAAACTGCCCCGGAATAAAAAATTCGGTTATTGAAGATTCTGATATTGACACGGTTCATAAACTGATCAGAGAGAATGAAAATAACCTACAAGCCTTCAAAGGTATACTTCTAGTTCATCAAGTTACGGGTCACGCGTATTTTCCAAATAAACTTATTATGAAATCATTGAGCTGTTTCTGTAGCCCAACTTGCAATCATCATAAATTAGGAATTCTGGAATACACCAACCAATCCAAACATCTCAAAGTAGTTGAAGTTTATAGTACACATTCTGAAGAAGATATTCCTCTACAAAAGCTACGTAAAAGCGGAACTATAGAACAAGCAGGCATAAGTAAGAATTTAAAAGATAAAATGAAAGTGACCTATTACAGTGGCGATTACGTCTTAGTAAAATTTATGGTGAATAAAAAGAGTACCGGTACGCTGCAATTTGTTCATATTATGATGACGAAGAAGGAGAATTGACTGTTACATTTCTCAAGGTATGTAATAAAGAAGGAAACTTATTTAAATTAGATGAAGGTGATGTCGCTGACGTACTTTATGAAGATGTGATTGAAAAACTGTCGATGCCCTGTTTGATTGTCAAAGGTGATAGAGTGTTTTACGATTTTAAAAAGGCTATAAATGTTTTTGAAAAGTGAGATTATTTTATTCAGATATTGTTAAGTCTTCTTTGTTACTAAATAATGATATAGAGAAACTGATAAGAACAAATACTAAGACTGAATATCATAACTCTTAAAGATTTTGTTTGCCTTTGATTATTTAGGATGTTGATTTTGTTTATTTTAGGCTAAGGCTTTTTGTTTTTACTTTCATGCTGTTACGTAACAAAGTATTTAAAAATATTATAATCTACCTCAGTTACTTTAGTAGTAAAAACTTTAGCTTGTCAAAGAATTTGACTTTATGTGTCTATAATGACTGATTATTATTAAAAAAAAGTATTACTAATTGTTATTTTTAAAATACATAGTTTAGGTAGTTGATTGTGGTTGTCTAAGTACCCAATAACCAAAGAAGTGACACACTTAGAAAATAGCTAAAGATTGTACAATAATTTCATTGGAAGAATTCTATTATTTTATTATTATTTTGGTTAAGAAATGTTAACAACCTATGTTTTTTGTCTTACGTGATTATGTTGCAAATATTTTAAAAATAAATATATTCGAGAAATGCATAACAAACTTATTTTACTACAATATCATTATTGTTTATCAGTCCCTAACAATACCTATCAGTCCCTAGATGCCCAATAATCAGTCCCTAACCAGAGCTGTCAGTCCCTAGATGCCTAAGTTTGAAAAACTCTAAATTTCTGCCAAAATAAAGCATAAAATGACCGGCCCTTTTAGATATAAGATAGTCAATCAATTACACTTAATATACGCTACTCAAGTATCCAAAAGCATCTTAAAAAGGTTTAGGACAAAAAAACATCAAAATTATCCCGATTTTTGTGGAATGACACATATATTAGGATTTTACATCACATGTTCGAACCTAGATGTCTCGCATAAAAATTATGAAAAAATGAAATATATTTTATAAACTCTACCGATTTTCTCCGGAAAGGTCAGTGGCATGGAAAATACTTCCTATTAGGGGTCTAGGTACCCCAGTTTCTACGTCCCTGGTACAGTTTGGGCCATGAAACACTGTGTC